GGCCTATTAATGTTTGTCTTGCAGGGATCATCAACTTCTGATATATCTTTCATGCTATCCTCGCTATTTCTGCCAAGCATCTCTGCCTACTTTTTTGCTTCTGAAAGCTCCAAATTTCGCCTACTACTTTAGCCCTTTTCATTCCTTCCTCCACAGCCTAATCATCTGTCTCACCTACATGTTGGTCCTTTTGCCTCTGGCATAAGACACTGTTTATTCCAAAGCCTTCGCGTGCTGATCCGGGCAATTATTTTCTCTTGTTTCTCTTGTGTTTTAGGCTTCTTTTCTCGATCTGGTTACTCACCTCACCTGCCCAAAACTGCCCTTCAATATGTCTTCATGGTCATTCTTTTTTATTTACTTGTGTCTTATAATCTTGGCGGAGTGCTGTGAAATAACACCTTTACTCACATGGGGGAAAACTTTACACGTATGCATGTATTAGCAAACATATGCCCTTCTGGTTCCAACTTTTTGTAATTTCCTCATTATTTTTTCCCTTATGGCTTTTGTCATACGGAAAATATACATATTCCAGCAATGAATTTCCCTTGATATTTATGCGTCTTTTATTTTATTACCCGACCATAAGTTCCTGGGGGTTTTCATCTATCGGTTCATCTTCCTTATCTCATCTAGTGTCTATATTTGTCTCAGATTAGTTCCTTTTTACGATTATCTATGTACCCTTGACTTATTTTCCTAATACTATTTCTTGCCTTACTCTAAGATATTCTCTCTCCTTTTCTCATTCATTGTTGATTGGTGTATGCCATCATTTAGATAATTCAAGCGTGATTTCCCGTACCTAATTTGTTTTTACTCTTGCTTTCCAAGTTTTGGGTTTGTCTCCTTATGCAATCTCGGTTTAAAATTAGACGATCTATAGAGTTTCTTTATAACCTAGATCAGGACTTGATTTCAGACTCGATTAAGCAATTTTTATCCGAATCGTAATCAAGATGTATTTTTATAGAATAATTCCGGCTTTCCTCTATGCAACT